GATATTTGTGGCTCTTACTTTTACAGCATTTCCACCGAATGAATTGTGTACACACTTTGTGTGTGTACAATGTACATGCATGTGTTTTTCAAATRTAATAAGTATTTCTTTGCCGTCTAGCTCTCAAAAATATTCATATTATCTATTAAACTATAAGAAAATTGTCAGAAACTATMAAAAATTATAAACTATCAGCTGAATGCAGGAATACGTCTCAACGAAAGCACACCACTACAGTACCGCGTACACAATGTCAAATTTTACAAATTACCACTTCTATAACATAATAACATTACCTATTATTAAATATTAAKTTATAGCCTTTTATAGGGTATATCTACCTTTCTATCTTATTCGTTATGTCTGTATATATTATATAAAATATATAATATACAGGGTGATTCTTTTAAGTGGGTAGTTTATGAGTTATATGTATTTAAAGTTTAGACAAGCGCAGTAGTGGACAAACATTTTGCGGGGTAATCCCATACCACTCCGCACTCTGCCAATCTAAACTTTAAATACTTATAACTCAAAAACTACTAGGTCTAAATTCGATTTTTATGAATCAAAATACTTAGAAAAATATTCTGCTTTGGAATATGAAATTAAAACTCTATGTTGTTATTCAAAAAAGTAAAAAACTTAAAAAATGATAAGGATAAAAAATATTTAAAAATATCATTTTTTAATAAAAACGTTGGTTTTTTAACAACTTGAGACCATTTAAAAATATATTTTGAAAAAAGTAAATAATTTTCGTGATAATTAGTGAACCCACTTAACAAAATCACCCTGTATATATATATATATATCAATATTTGACAGTATAGATATCATTGTACATTACATACTAGGTAGGTACTGATATTGTAGGTACGTACTTTTCTTTTTCAAATTTTTCAGGGGTTATTTAATATTTATTAGGGGAATCGAATATTTCAAAGGGATAATTTTGATTTCAATTAATACCTAGTTTAGATAATGCCTCCGATATCGTGATTCGTGGCCATAGGCTATATTATAATACAGGGTCTGTCAGAACAAACGCATGTTTTTCAAAATAATGCTACGCTCAAAGTAATTTCAGTAAAATATGTTTTATTATTTCAAAAAATGCAGACGCATATGCAGTTTTTTTTATATGTAACAAAATTTAGGTTTTGAAAATAATGTCATGCATTTCGCGTTTTGGGGACATTCCGTGGCCTCCTTGCTCCCTTGACTTGAGAATATGCAATTTTTTGTTGGTGGGGTCACATACAATCAAAAGTCTACCAATACAAACCACGAACCCTTGATGAATTGAAAGATGAGATCACTCAAGTGGTAAGAAAAATTTCGAGATAGATGCTGATTGACACGATAGGATCGTTTTGCGAGTGCCAACACCCCTACTTATTAGTGGTTCAAGGGCGCCATATGCCTGACATTATTTTCAAAACCTAAATGTTGTTACATATAATGAAACTGCATATGCGTATGCATTTTTTGATATAATAAAACATTTTTTACTGAAATCACTTTGAGCATAGCATCATTTTAAAAAACATGCGTTTGTTCTGATGGACCCTGTATAATATACATAAATTAAAATTAATATTAATATATGCATGGTCGGATGGTCTATGCATAGTGCATACATTAATTACTACATATTATATAATTACGCTATAATGGTCTGAATGTCAGATCATATATTATACCTTGTGTCCTTGTATATGAGTAAATGATCTAAGATCCGATGCATTTTATGTTTACTAATTTACTATCAATTATTGACACAAACTTCATATTTGTGTTATCACTTATCAGATAAATGTTATTATTATTATTATTTACTATTTAATATCTACATCATAATATCATATTTAATTAGTCAGTATTCACTATTCAGTAATCCGGGCTGATCAAGCAAAGCAGTAAGCACCAGTTATAGCTTTACCAGTTATTGACTACTGCCTAGTACCTACCTGAAAGACTGCTGACAAATTATAATACTTGAGTACAATTATTGATCGGAATATAATATTGATATATCATAGATATATACTGATTTAAGTATAGTAATAGACGATCTTATTTTTTTTAAATTTCAGTGTAGTATTAAGTTGTAAGTTTTAATTGTGTACAACACGCTATTTCGAGATGCCAGCTCTTCGGAGTGCCATTTGTGAAACTCTCCTTGGTGAACCTGATCAAGATGCCAATTCTGCTTTGATTGAACTCGATAAAGGCTTACGGTCCAGTCGTGTTGGTGAGCAATGCGAGGCCATTGTACGCTTCCCTCGACTAATTGAAAAATATCCTTTTCCGATTCTTATTAATTCGTCGTTCTTGAAGCTTGCCGATGTTTTTCGTCTCGGTAATAATTTCCTTCGACTTTGGGTGTTACGTGTATGTCAGCAGACAGAAAAGCACATCGACAAAATTTTAAATATTGACGAGTTTGTTCGTAGAATTTATAGCGTAATTCACTCTAACGACCCAGTTGCTAGAGGGTTGACTTTACGTACATTGGGCAGTGTTGCACGAATTATACCAGAAAGAGGACAAGTGCACCACAGTATACGTACAAGTTTAGATTCTCACAATGCTGTCGAAGTAGAATCTGCGATTTATGCGGCAGGACAATTTGCAGCTCAATCAAAATCATTTGCTGTAAGTATGTGCAGTAAAATTTCAAATATGATCAGAGGTATTTCAACTGATGTTGTTATGAAACTTGAACTAATTCCTATTTTAAAACATATGCATCACGACACAACTACCGCGACAATGGTCAGAACACTTTGTACTGATTTGCTTGAGAAATATCCAGCTCAAGATTTTGTTCTTGTTACATTAAAGACTCTCAATCAATTAGCTTTGTCTATTTTAGTTGATGTACCTAAACAAATAGAATTGCTTTTGAAATTTTTAATTGAAGATAAACGACCTTTAGTCTGTAAGTGTGCTATATCTGGCCTTTATCAGATTGCCAAAGAAGGTGCACACTTTTGGTCTGAACAAACAATTAACAACTTGGTCAGTTTTTGTGAGAGCTTAAATGTTGACAATAGTTTAAAAGCAGATGCTATAAGTGTATTCGTACCATTAACAAAATCTCCAGCTATATGCCAGTTTCATTACAGTACAGACAGTCTACTTATGAAAATGTGTATTGCTGAATCGAGTTCTATGCATCAGTCAGTCGCTGGAAATGCAGTTAAAGTATTGACAAATATAGCGTGTTATTGTTTTGAAGAGGAAATTATGTCTGAAAATGATGCCAATGTATTGAAGGTTTGCATACAAAGCTATCTTTTGTCTGTACTATCAGCTGGACAACAGCAGTTTAATGATATCAAAAATTTGAGCAATGAAGAACAAATCCTTATTAATAGTATTTTAAAAACGGATAACATTGATGAACCAATGGAAGTTGATGGTACTATTCCTGAAAACTTTGATAAAAAATCAAACTATCTACGTGATGGTTTACGATCATCTGTTATGCTGTGCAAAGCAAATAAAAGTTTGATCCCAGATTTTGTTTCACTTGTCGTTAAACCATTACAGCAAGATGGATTTGAAGTAAATCCACTGATATGTGAAGCTATTGCTGCATTTGGTGGTATATTACCTGGTACTTTATTACCATTTCTTCCAGTTTTTATAAAACAATTAACAATTTTAAATAAAAATAATAATCATGAATTAATAGCTACTAAGGTTTTAYTATGTACTGTGATTTTCCAAGCCGTTGCTGGTTCTGGTGAATATGATGAAGTGAAACAAGTAATTAATGATGTAATAAAAAATACCGATCTATGGACAAATTATAAAATTGGTCGAGCAGCTGTTAGATATGGTCATTTTTACATCAGTTCCAGAATTTTTGGTAGTCTAAATAACCGTGTTGGTTCAGAACAAATGCACTTTTGGTTAGCTGCATTAGAAACCATTAGTACAGCAGAATCTCAACTGACGTCAAACCCCTCTAATTTATTGGGTAACTTAGGTCAATCAATATCTACTTACTACAGAGCAATTGCTGCATTAAAAGCTGCATCATTAATGCTTATTTTCCAAACGGAATACACACGTTTGCGTTGTGAACTATTGCAATGTTTCATGCGTTTATTGTCTACGTGCAACAGTTTTTGCACTACTCCGCCGCCAGCTATTGCTTCAGCAATTGTACAAGCTACTAGAGATGAAATGCAAAGTTATGGGCATATCACAAATCAATTAAGGAAAAGAGCAAAGGAGTTTAAGGGATGCGCAGATTTATATTGGAGATTATACCAATCAGCATTTGACGCCGACCCTAATACATTATATCACTTACAGCTTTTACAACATTTGTGTTTATTGATGGCTCATAACATTGAATCTGTAGCAGTTCCAAATAAATGTGAGAGTCCAGTCTTAGATTCTGAATTGGAAAAAGAAGGCTCCTTAGAGATACAATTGATTGTCAAATGTAGACAAGAGCTCTTAGAAATAATGAGTACAGTAAAAGAAAAAGCAATTACTCATAAACATATACGATCCCTAAAAAAACAAGCTTCTCTCTTGGTAACTACACCCATGTGTTTTCCACGTTATTTTTTTCAAACATTACAGTCTACTACAATAACATTGGCTGTATCACCTCAACCTAGAGTTAATGGTGAACCAATTACAGTAAACATGGGGAGTAATTTTGTGATTAAAGTTGAAGGAGTTGTACAACATGGAACGAAAGCTAAATTCCGTAAAGTTGATGGAATTCAATTAACAATTACGTCACAATTAGTCACTAGGAATCACGATACTAGATCAACTGAAGGAAATTTGATGTTAACACAAACAGTAAAACCACATAAAGACTTCTTTGCATCAGAATTTTGTCTGAGTTTCAACCAAGGAAGTCAACATCAAGTACATATAGAAGCAGCACTGATTGATGATAATGCATCTGTTTGGCAAATTGGAGTGCGTAACACATTAACTATAAAATGTCATTAATGAAAAAAAAAACAATTCGGTTTAATTATTTTTTAAGCTAATTGTACACCTTCACCCAATTAAATAAAAATGTAATACTTCTAACATGTTACAATCTATTTTGTCGTTCTGAGTTGCTATCTTGTAGCAAAAATGCTGGCCAATATTTAACTTCTCCAGTATTTTCATCTATATATTTTAAATTTGGATTGGGGTGACTTTTTGACTTATTACCGAGAGATGTATATCTATAAAACAAAATGTACTTGTACTTAAAAGTTAAATAATGGAAGTATATTATAAAATTATTTTTAATTAAAAGCAATTTTGAAGTTGCTTACCCTTTATCATACAAGCAACAATATGGTATAGAGAATTGTCTCAAAAATGACCAAATATTACTATAATTCCAGTGCAATAAAGGTTGTACTCGCATCAATATAGGCCACCCTGGATCAGTTTCCTAAAACAGTAATATAATATATTATGTATGATTTGTATTGCATGAAAGATATATTAATATTGTAGATGAATGAGATTGCCAAAATAATAATATGCTTTAGTGGTAGAATGATAATTGATTAAAATTAAATAAATTGGATTAGGTAATCAAGTATCAGTATTATTATATACAAATCCAAAGCTAAATTAAATTTTTCACAACTTTTTTTGTATAATATTATTTTGTAATTTGAATATTTGGTACCCAGTCAATATTATCATAATATGTATTTAAAATTAGTTGAACTATTTTATTAGTTATTATTCATTACTTGTAATACATTATTTTAAAAATGTCTAAATATATCAAAAATATCAAAAATATTGATTGTTAATAGTTAAACTCTGTAGTAAATACCGAACTCAATAACTTCTTGTATTAGCAAATATTGTGATTTAATAAAATAAAATATTTTAAAATTGTATTAAAAAACAACTCTCCTATTATAAACATAAATTTATTTCCTATAATTGTGTATTTGTTTCATAGTATTATTATAGTAATAAATTACAATTATAAAACATGTAATGTATTTTAATTCTAATTGTAATATTTAAAAAAATTCTATTTTTTTAACAATAAAACAATAAATTAGTTTAATGGTTTTAAATAAAGTATAGCATTTTACTTGAAAGAACTGAAGTTTTGTAGAACCCGTATCTGATTGTCTTGTACCTATGATAGACGCACAAAACTGAGGATTCTCTTTCAAAAAGTCACTAAGGCCAGATTTAAGTTCACCTTTGATTACTGTTAAATCTAAATTAAACCTTAAAAGAATGATCAAAATAAACAAAATAATTAGTAAATTATACAACTTAAAATCAAAAATAATTTTTTTTCTGAGTTATTAATTTTTATTTGAATGAATTGTTATTGTTAATGATGTAATTTTTTCTTTAACTTATGATAAATGCACCTATTAACTGTAGATTGTACATAGTCTTCTTCTTCAGAAAATTGGTCATCTGATTGAAAATAAACAGCTTTGATTTGTCCATTTAATTTTAATTCTTCAAGCACAGCTTGAAATAAGTACAATAATACGACACAATCTTTTCCACCATTAAAGCTCAAAAATATATTTTTAAATGTAAATTTGTCAATACTTTCTTTAATTACCTATAAATATAGTTTATTTATATTTCATACTAAATTACTTTTAAATAATAAATACAAACAGATACCTGTATTGCCTCTTTAATACACCGACCAAGAGGTAAATTTGTATGTGTTTGAAACCTCTTAATATCTTCAAAATTTACTGCATTTACTGTATAATGTGGGTATATAAGTGTATTATCCGGTAATTTACTAACTAAAAACCGTTCAATCTGATTGATAATATTTTCATTATTACAAAAGATTCCAAAAGAATCTGTATAGACAATACATTCAAATGTATCACGGGTATTGGTTTTCAATATTTCATCCCTTATTAATTTTAAAGTTCTAATGATTAAATCTTTGCAATTGGAATTAAAATAAATAACTCGCCTAAACACATAATTGAACACAAGGTCAGATGTAGCCTCCATTATTGTCATCTTTTCGTGTACATTTTAAATTCAGTTTTGATCATTCTTCAACAATTTTTAGTTCTATAAATAAATATATATATATATATATTAATAAATTATAATGATAATTAAATAAGTACTAGTCAAAATATTTAATTATATAATTTAACATCTTATAATAATTATGAACATTTAAATATTATGATTTAAAATTGTTATTATTGGATAATACCTTTKTTAGACACAAAAATTAGTATTTATTTTATTCAATTTAGGACTTGAACATAAGCTTATTTTTTTAGGCTTGACATAAAATCTAACGGAATGACATGGAAATGTACACAATACACAATCAAATTATTCAATTTAWTTTTAGATCTCTTATAATTAATACTTATATAGAAGATAACAACAAAAACAAATAGTCCAATATTGTAGTTACTACAATATTGGACTACAATGTAGTACTTTTAATAACAAGTGAAATGGCATCAATTGACGTCTTTCATCATATGCGAATAATGTGAATGATGCCTTTTGGTGTCATTCGCAGTGAATGTGTTAAGAGTCTTTAATAATTTTTACTAGTTTTTTTTTCCTTAATATGAGACCTATTTGATAACTAATTGGTTTTTGTTGTTATAAAAAAGTATTTTATACATTAAGAGGAAAAACATAGTTTTGACCGGATGATCCTATGTTTTTACTTGTTGATGTAGGAGGGAAGAAGAAGATCCATTATTGATTATTTTAATGTTTAATAACTGCTTAAAATGAAGATTTAAGTTTTTTTTGAAGTTATATGTGCCCTAAGTTCTAAACCTTGTTTATGAAAAACAATAATTACAATGAATAAATAAAGAAATAAGAAATTTATTTTGTAGAAACACTACTGTCAAACATAGGACTGTCTTAGATGTTTTAAATTGTTAAAGAAATAATTTAAAATTGTATAATGAACATGAGATAATTCAACTCTTTCAAACGTTAAAATAAAACATGAATAATTACTAAATAGTAAGTTAATGTATATTCAAACATTTCTAACTATTTATATATTATTTAAAGCTAAAAATAATCTGCTTTGGCACACGACTGACTTAAAACTCAGTAAAAATTATAGAAAAAAAAATTAAGCGTTCTAATAAAATATTAGTTAAAAAAATACAACAATATTAAAATTAGTAAAAATTACATTTTATTTTTAATCATAGATAATATTAAATATTTAGTATTAAAATTACAAATATTATGAATCATCTTTGCTCTTTTTGATATAATTTTCAATTTTAATTTCATTTAATTTTCTTTTTTTAATACTTTCAGATTTACACAATATGTCTTTCTTCATTTGAAATGTAATTCGAACCATTTCCTTATTAGGCGCTACATTTCTGACTCTTATAATTTCTTGAATGTCGTCATTCTTGATATTACTAAAGTATTCTTCTATTATTGATTTTAAACCTTCTTCGTAACTTTTATCAGTTTTTACAAAAGTATAAACATGTAAAATTGGTAGAGAATGATCAGATATTTCTTCCCATTCAAATAAATTATTAAAATACTTAACAAAGTCAACAGCAATTGCTGGCAAATTCATTGTCACATGTACATTATTTTCTGAAGTGATTTTCTTTGACCACAAAATGTAATGTGCCCTTAAATCTTCTTGAATAAATTTACTTCCATCTTTATTGATAATTGTTAAAAGTTCATCTTTAATGCGATTCTTTGTTTTATTTATTTCTAACCATTTACAGCTATTAGGATTCAAATCATTAGCTATTACAATACACCCCAATTTCGCAGCTGGTACAGAAAATGGTCCTATTCCAGCAAACACATCATACAAAACATCACCTGATTTAAGTTTTTGTAAAATACGTTCATGTTCGGTGCATAATCTTGGATTCCAATAAACTTCTGAAAAATCTAGATCAAATAAGCATTTATTTTCTTTAACTGTGGTTTTTAAATCAGATGAACCATATATAATTTCATATTCAAAATTTCTATATACATTATTTATATTATCAATTTTGTTTACAACACTTTTGCACCCCTTAAGTTTGTCATTAAGTACTCGTCCAATAATATCCTTATAATCCAATAATTCTGGTTTGAGATTTACATGTATAATTGATCCAATTGCTGAATAACTTGATAACATAGATTTTTCGGGGAGAACTGCTTTAAGTATTTCATCGTGGTTCCAATTATTATAACCMACCTCAATCTGAACATATTTCAAATTTTCAGCAGAAACAAATGATAAGTTAAGATCTTCACACGAAGAAAATTTGGCTGGATCAAGATAAAAAACACATTCAGAGTCATTAGAGCCACTACGAATTGACTTGAAATTGTTTAGTTTAATAATATAGTTTTTTAACACTTTATTAGCACTTTCAACATAATTTTTATTTATTACTATAACAGGTACAGTTACAGGTTTTGTGAATTTATCAATTTTAAAAACTGTCATACCTCGTACTTCATCTGGTGGCGATAATGTGTTCATAATAGTTTTGTTTGATTGAATATAAATATATTTTTTRTAATGACGTAGTGATTGACAAATAAAGTTCATCAAACTTAAATTTTCAATATTAACTAGAATAAAACAATGAATTATATATATATTTAAAAAATGAAATGAATCTATTAAAAAAATAAGAATTCTTACCTCATCAATCCACCTAACATGGGGTATATAATATTAAATTATATAAAGGTAATACAAAATAAATATTTTTGATGAGTTTTGCAATATATATTAAGTGAATAACATCAACTAATTACGTAATAAGTTAGAATCACAGAATATATGAAATATATATTCTGCATTAAAATATTTTTGAAAAATTTGTAAGTGGTGAGTACAGACTGAAGTGTGCGACTTCCTCGAAGTACATAGGTATGGTCGCACAGAACAATAATGGTTACCAGGGACCTACCTATGAATTATGATAGGTAACTATAATTACTTAACACCTACAGTCGGAGTAGTCGCCAGTCGGACARCCGGTACRGGACAATCCGCATTGGGCACTTTCACAGTTTGTCAGTTTCACACAATCAGTTATCAGTTATCACTATTCACTTATCAGTTATCACATTAGATCATGAACATATAATATATACAATTAATATATAACCACATATATGATATAACCAAGGTGGATATATATATATATATATATATATAATATATATATCCACCTTGTATATAACCTAAGCATATCACACATTGGCACATTGCTGATAAAATTATAATCACGATAAAATCAACTAAACTTTTTTTTTTTATTTACTTTTTTTATTTTTCTATCAGATGTCAAGAATTTGAGCATTTTAACTTTTAAGTATTCCAAAATCCAAATGTTTATAAAAGACAAAAAACTCTCTTCGTTGTAAAATGTATACATTAATTCGCTATGATCAGAATCTAAAACGATAAATACAAAACAGATTTAAATATAAATAAGTGATAGAACAAAAAACAAAGGCCAGGAGACACAATTAACTAGGAGAAATGTGGATACGAGTGCGAATATGCAAGTTATAAGCCACTGCAGATAAGGGCACCCATAGGGGGGGGGCAAAGGGGCCATTGCCCATACTGGGAATATTTTWAAATTATTAATAATTTAATAAATTGTTAAAAAGCAAAAACAAAAAAATTATTGAAGCCGTTATACAATCATTTTGTATGCAACCAAGACGCATACAACTTTTATTTGATAATTAATACAAATATAATTAATTTGTCACATCTACATTAACATGTATTCAAAAAATATTGATATTGTATTTTAAACTTACACATATAAGGAACTTATAATGATGATAATATGTTGTTTTTTTCTGTTTAGGTTAGGTATGCTATTTTAGAATAAAGACTAGAAATATATTAAAATTTAAAATAATCTTTTTGATTTGGTTTTAGAATTTCGATCTTGTTCCGGGTGAGATTTTATCCTGCGAGTATGCTTGACTGCAGATCACTACAACAACGTATTCCACGACCGATTCCGTAGAAAATCTGTTACGGACACGCATTCCCGGGCGATGTACTGCTGTCAACGGGTACAAGTGATACAACTAGCCTAAAAGCTACATAAAGCTGTTAAACACTTTAGTGCCTTCGATCGACTAAAGTAATGCATCTTGCACCACGACTACGTCAAGTGGCCTATCCTCTTGAACCCAAGCGGAATCGAGACGCTTAGATGTCAGAGCCAGCGCATCGCCACTCGACGATGTAACACTGCCGAACTCATGGCCGGACATGAGCGTCCCCAGGGGGGGAGAGACGGAGCACTTGCCTTCTCTAGAATTTTAAATTTGTTTTCCAAAGCATTATCTGTAAAAACCTACCATTTCAGTAAAAATAGATGACTTTTAAAATGTATAAAAAAATCTTTATTTATTTTGCACCCCCCCCCCTCTTCCCTAGAAAAATGCTTGGGGACGTCCATGTGGTCGGGCTCATCGATGTGTATGACTTTTTTGTAGTCTTCTAGTGCGCGTTTCTTTCAAGCTGTAATAGACGGCGGCGTATCGCCATTAAAAACCTGATCTGCACTGGCTAACAAACGAACTGGCTTGTCCACAATGCTTTCATCGTTCTTGACGTCTTACAGCAGTACTTTTCACTTGTCACGAATGATAGGAATGGTATCGATGTAGAGACGGTAGACCGTTCAAACGTATAAGGTACCTACCTAAAACATATAGCAAAATAATATAATTTAAGTARAAAATATATAAAAAATATAATTTTTATTTTAGGTACTTGTTGTTTACTATTTTTTCGGTAGATCACACACTAAACTTTAAAATGCCCGGGTGATCACACGCTTTACKATAATGCCTGAATTATATTAAAATAACAAGACWTAATTAATATAAATTTTACTTTTATTCGCTGCTTCACTTATCGAACGGCTACGACGCCTGCGTTACATATAGTCACGGTTTTACTGCGACTGAACAACGGCCGATCGTCTGTCACCGAGGACCGCTGTATCTGACATATCTTATATCTTACATTTTTTTTTTGCGTACCCAACAGCCGCTTTTAACTCAGTTTTGCTGTGGTATGGTATGGTGATATATGGTAATGGTATCTWCAAGGTTGATCGAAGCTTTCTGTACGCCTCCATAATATAATATGATGTAGTCGCATATATAGATACGTACCGACGTACCGTACTTGGCGTACTTGTATTGTATATAACATAATATGCTCAGCAGTGAGCAGTGTACAGACGTTCACTTTCGTCGAGGTCTCCAAATAACATGTATTTGTATTATAATAACAAATGCAAGGTAACTATATTAACTCTTGTGTAGGTTTATAGTTGAAAATTGTCTCCAAAATATAACAAAGGTTTAGTCGTAATTATATTTCAAAAATAACGATTTCGTATAAATKTTAAAAAAGGAAACATTTAAAATTTTTAATATTTGGCTTTTTATTGTTTTGGGGGTGTATAGGGAGTATTTTATTTTAAATGTTTTCTAACTGATATAATATATTTTAGAAGTTATACGTTTTATTTTCATTTTTAATACAAGAAATGAATATAAGCAGTAACATTTTTGTACATATGTATATTATTATAGTGTAGTCCGAAACCGGCGACATAATATTATTGAATAATTCTACTTTCCAGACGACAGCATAGGCGTGTTATGTTTTTTCGCCAGAGAACCGGTGGAAAACAATGCGCACGCGTAAGTCTGTAATAGCAACTGCAGCAACACAAATACACAATACGACTATATATTTAATTTGTGTACGTCTTTTATACACGAATATTATTATTTAGTAAAACATACTACAGTACGTGTTATTATTATTATTGTTATTGTTATCATTGCGTGGGAGGTGACGAACTCGAATCTCTCGCCGCGCCCTTCCCAAGTCCCAAACATGGTTCGGTGGTGGAAATCCGCGTCCGCGTCCGCCCGCTCGACCGAGTCAGCCGCTCTCGAGAAGAACAATATATTTGGTACTATACGCGTTATATATACAGCCACCGTCCGCTGCCGATCGTCTCTCACCGCGCCCGTTCGATCAGTCAGTCTGAGTCCGGTCGCCGAACGYATTAGGCAACATACCTAGCTGGTATCCACCGCAGACATATCATATTTATATATTATAATATTATATCGTTATCGATATATCCATATTCAAAACTCTACATTATACACACGCCGACAGTCGATCAAGTCAGTCCTGMAAGTGATCGGCCTTCGTCGGTGAGAATCGGACGTCATATATAGGTACGTGCACACATATATAATATATACGAACTGCACCACGACATCGTCAGGTCCGTGACGAAGTGGTCCCCGCCAAACGCAATATTGGCGATAAGCAGATATCGCTGTCGTACATTATAAACGCGTGGACCGCGACAGCAGTCAGTTGACGCACGAGACACGACCGACATGGACAAGCAACAGGAAGCCGCGGTCGCAGCATCCGGTACAGCGTCGGAAGATAGCATCAGCATGAAAACTGAATATCCCACGCACGAGGTGTACGTCTCCGAACCACCACCGGTGAGTTGTAGACGATAATACATAACATTGTACCTATATTAGGTATATWTATATTRAGAWAAAAATWTTCCACGACCTAGCTGCTATGATGACGACAGTCTATAATTTTCAATATTCTATYAGGTATAATTAAATGCACCTTTATAGTAAATAATAATAGTAAYAATGACGAAAATTCAACTTACGAGGAGCAGTCATAGTTAGAACAAAATCGTTCGTCAGCGAGCRCCCGTCGTGCAGTGGCCGCCGCGTCACACTCCACTTCGCGGTCCACGAGAAAGTCGAAACGCGCGGCTGTACTTATCGGTAAGACCGCGACGACCGGAAGCGTATTATTTTTACTTCGGATTTCGATCTTCCCTGTTCGGTGGGTTACGGATATAATAATATAACTAACCTGATTCCTGAAGACCTACTCGAGTTCGAGATGACCATACTGTTGTTTTACACATCCCATGCGACAAAATATTTTTAGCAAATAGTATATGTATTTAATATTTATGTAACATTACGTTTGATATAGGACTAACACGGGTGACTTCWACGGCTAAAGGCCGCTGCGTATGGGATTTTTCTTTGGACATTGAATCGCGAACAATAAATCATAAAAAGACGCATTTTTTCCCTATCGGTTAATATATGTTATGTAAAAAGATTTGCAAAATCGTTCTATAATATGGTAAAAATTGCCACTGTAATATAAATAACAATGGTCTTGTACTCTTTTATAGATTTAGATAGAATGTACAGTAATAATGTATACAAGAACAAGGTACTAGTATAATGTACTAGGTTATGTACCTTTTACGATTTAGCATACCTATACATATATACTGGTTGTATATATGTAATACCTACATATAATTGTTAAATGTATATTGTATATATGTGCAGCATATTACTATTTACTTCTATATGTTTTACGTTCACGTTTTTGGTTTGGTTTTTTCTACGTGAAACCTGTTGTCTGTAGGACAAACAATAGTCGGTAAATTAATCGCTTTTACCACAATATATAGTGCATAATATATATTATGTACATGAATCGAGACAGAAAAACTATTTAAGCGTACGCTAGCTATATAATAATAATATGTACAATGTACAGATCATTATACAAGCGCAGTACAATAACAGCGATTGACACACGTGGTGCATATTATTTTAATATAATATAATTATTAATCATAATTCATAATTGAGATGGGTGTATAATGTATATATAGGTACGTATATTGCATAAGTCGCCTTTAGCAGTACCCTCTCACTCGTATGCCGGTACCATATTAAAAAAAGGGTATCGTCTCTTGCGAGATCCCGCGGGGCCGGATCGGTAAAAAAAACGACTATCTATTCCACACAATAATAATTCATAGTTATTTAGCTCGCGGGTCTTGTTCCCAACTATATTAGATACTGTTAGCACATCTTCGCCTAGCGCATCAAAAAACCACGTCCTTATTATAGTATTATAGTATTATACTATTATCATTATCATCGAACGACAAATTATAAAAACAATAAATAAAAAAGTCTCTGTGCATATTGTACCTATTATATTTTTATTTTTATGCGGAGGTGGTTTCTTGCTGCAGCACTACCGTCGCTGGAGGGAAATAGAGAATACAATATAATTATATATTACTACAATAATACACCAGTTGAATGTAYATTTACATGCGCGTACATAATATGTATACATACAAAATACAAAGTAAAATAATCATAATAATAATAATATGTAAAAAGATGGTGTGTCGAGGACAACTGGGTATAAAAACTGTAAACAATATGCAGTATAATTTATCCTTTCTCTTCAACTCTTGTGTTGGGCGCACAGACGTACACACAYATATATATATATAAAGTGTATATATTATTATAAGCGCTTTACCTTGAGTCCAATTCTTACAATGCATACGTTAATGGTCGTGTGAGTGTTTTGGATTCTATTTTTACAACAAATTACGATTTACGTTGTCCTATAAGTAAAAAAATAATAATAAAAAACACTTAAAATGAGCTTTTCATGCTTGACATACTACAGTTAAATCTACGCTACCAACAAGGCCATCGTGACATCGTGTTCAGCAGTACAGTTATATATATTATAATTTATAACACTATGTCCAATGTCCATCCTATTCACCATTATAACAAAATTTTTTTTTTTATCGCCTCTGATTTTTTGGGTTTTGCGTAATGACAATAAGACATACACTGAAGTTACTGCGCAATGAACCGCATGACGCATCGTACTTGGACTTCTGAGTTCGTAAAATGTTCTGTGTGTAATTTGCACCGTATATCTACTCGTTGTGTTTACACAAAAAATATTTATTTTTTATCTTTAGATCCGAATATGTTTATCTGCATAGTACCAGCAACAGTGCAAAAATACAAATATAATGACAAAATCTTTAAGTGAAATATGTAAATGTCGTGGTGTGTTGCATTAAGGCTATAATGRGTTGTTGTTAAACCGGTTGTCGAATAAGGTCTTTCGGGTTAGAAATAAATTCAAAGAATCTTCTAGATTTAAATAATTTGTAAAGACGGTCTGGAAGATTTCCAGGATACATCGCAATAGTATGCTATACACAGGCGCACGCGAATCGTTATTCTGGATTTAGTTAAATGTRTAATATTACTTTTATACAGTTGTATATTTTAATTCTTCGAAAATAACGTATAATATTTATATACTTAATAATTACTTATATATTTACTCAACTAAATATAATTTGTGCCAACGTATATTTATTTACATACATCAACGTACATATATTTTTATAATGAGTCGATTTTGATTACGAATCTGGTTTATGATGGTTTTTATGATTATGACGCTTACTCTTTGTTATAAATTATATTACGAATATTATATGATCATTATAATTCATTATATTGTGTACTTTCCAGTAGATTTTTAAGTGCACAAATTGCATATACGTGGTAAACACAGTTTCACTTGGGGTACGATAAATGTGTATGTACATTGTACACTCACACGCACGCTTTCTCTCATGATACGACCCATTAAATGATTTATGAATTTGACGGTTTTTACATGAGCTAAATGCCTTTAATGACGAATTTTCGCATTCACCTATAAACACCGCCAGATACTTTCCATTCCCATTAATATTATAGTTAATACTCGACGTTTGAATGACATATTCTGAAAAATAATATGGTCTATCTGCTGTCTGCACMGATTAACGAAAAAGAAAAAGGGCTCATTACCCACATTATGTTATTCATGTACGTTCTTACTAATATGTTTACCCATGRACGGCATGAATCTGATGTTTATGTCACTGAATTTTTGGATTCTATAATTAATCGATGTACCTATTAGCAGTTAAAAATTAGATATATCAGATTAAAAAATAAAAAAAATGTGAAAAATAATAATTATTAGTAATACTGCATAATGAATTTAAATTTTCACTTCACCTGTATTTTGTTATTGAGAGAAAATCACATTTGTCTTTTATTCTATTATAACATCTGGTGTATTGTATATTATTTATATATAAAACAATAAGTATGTTAATTTAGATATAGAAAGTATGTTACACGATTTTAAAAATATTCAAATACACCATATTATTCATATTTTTTCCTACAAAATTTTAATTTATGATTATTACTATTACACAGTTGAAACGTGTGGGTTACCTAGTGTATAAATTCATAAAATTAGAATATTTTTCTCCTTACAAATAATCATAGATTTTCTCACACGAAAAAAAAGTAGTAGATAATTATGTAATTTAATTTATAGTGTATTACATAGTTTTTGTTAMTTGTTACATTATATTATGCTCTCTAAAGAACAACAATTGTTAAAAATATCTAATGAAATTCGATAACCGTGTCATTGATTAATTTTACTGACGAGTGACGATTGTCCATTTTCATAAATAAATTAAAGTAATTACCATTTGCTAGTTTAAATTTTAACTCAATTGTAGTAACTAGTACGGCACCATGTATAAAAACTATGGTTAATCTACTAACCGTGATAAAGACATACATTAGATGTGTGTTATATTTGTGTATCTAGCGTATAAGTATATATATTTTACCATTTACCAAACAATATATTATACATATTTTTTTTTCACAAAAATATAGGCTTAATATATATAGATAAATGGCTGTAAACAACCTTAATATTTCAACATAATGCATGGAGTTAAAATCAATAAATTACTATTACAGGTTAATGGCCTCAAATATTTAAGCATTATTAACCCAATAAAAAAAAAAAAAATAAATATTATATGCATATATATTGTAGTATAATATGTATAATTGCAATATTGAATTTAAAGATTAAGACAAAGTAGAAATTTTTATGACTAATCGTTTGCAGTGAAAATTCCATTATAATGAAAATTTTATTATTTTTCGTATTAAAATTGCTGAAAAACGATAACAATGATAACATTGAATTCATAGCATTTTTTTTTATTATTAATGTCTAAATACCAATTAATTATGACCTCTTAAAATATTTAATTTTTAGACGTAAGGCCTACTTATACTGAAATTCTTTGACAAAGTCCAGAATATCACGAATCTCGCAAAAATAAAAATATGAAATTAAAAAACATGTTAATATTAAATAATATATCAAGTGTTGACGAAAACTATATATATATATAGTATAAGTCCACTGCGCAGTTTTCAAATAATGATTATGATTTTAGTTTGCGATTATATTTCATTGCGTTAGGTACTGCAAAAAAATGTATTCATATATATATATAATTTTAATTTTTCCGTTATGGAATGGTTTAAAATTAAGTCAGAAAAAAATCAGGACTTACTTGTAGTGAACAATTATAGTATATTATATAATTATAGAGTATATTGATACCATAAAATATCATATCCGCCTATAACTTTTTATTTTTTATTTATACTTTTTAGTTTATGATAAACTATTTAATAAACATTATTATGTGTYTAGAATTTTTTATYCTGTA